AAATACTAAAACTGTTACCAAAATTTAAAGAAAAAACTGTGTATTTGATGACCACAGTAAGCTATATAGCCCCAGCTAGGTACTATTTTATAGTATGTTCATTCTACTCACTGAGGTTTATGCCTAAAGTCAGACATGGGTTCTTGTGTATGTATATATCAGCTGTGCTTGCTATTGCAAATATTTAGACAAACTAAGTTCATCAGCAAATCAATTAAATGGGTGGGGGGATAGGCATAGAAAGCAAACAGGGATACCAGAGACAATGGGAGGAGGGTTGGACAGGGCAGAGGGTTAGGGAAAGGGAATCAAGGATGGAAAAAAAAAACTCAAAATATACAAGACATAAGAAATGAAAAATTGTTTGTTGATAACACGTATGTTGATGTGCTTGATTGAGCCAACAGTGTATTTTGGATGAAAAATTCATTTTGTATACTGTAATGATATATAGCATATTAATGTTAAAAAAAGAAAAATAAATTAATAAATTAAAAAAAAAAATTCACAGCCGGTGCCTGTGCGTGTGTGCCCAAAATCCCAAGAGGAGAATGGAGAAGGGATTGCAGTTTGACCACGCCCCCTGAGGGGTGATTTCTCACTTTTTGTCTCTCTGTCTCTCTCGCCAGTGAGCACACACACCCTATAGCAAAAATCTCTCAAAAAAACAAAAAAGCAAAAGAATAAATCAGTATACCCTTGAGTTACCCACCCCCCACACACAAATTACCGCATAACGTACAGGCCTGTAAATTTGCGCTATCCACCGTCCAAAGAACTCAGTTGGTAATAACTATCGAATGTAGGAAGCAGACATGGGGCTGTGGTGGTTAGGGTGGCTGGATCCCACTTGACCAACTGCCCAACTAGAGTCCATCCCCCAGGGCAGCAGGGCCAGCGGGTGGCATGGTGGTTAAGGGCGCTGGACTCTCACATGACCGACCACGGTTCAAGTCCTGGACCTGGTGGCTTGCTTTCTTGCTTTCCCTCTCTCTCTGCTGTGTCCCTCTCTGGTCAAATTAAATAATAATAAGTAAATAAAGTTAAATAAAATCATTTTTGAGGAAAAAAAAGGAAAGGGCTCACGCACCTGTGTCCAAAACCTGAGAGGAGACGAGTTCTCAGGAAGGGGCTGGGCGTGGCCATTCCTCGTAGGAGAGTCTCTGTCTCTGTCTCTGGTAAGCACACAAGCCCTATAGCCCTATAGCAGGGGGAAAATTCAGAATAATGAAATCTATAAAGGCAATTCCTAGGGCCAGCAAGTGGCATGGTGGTTAAGGTGCTGGACTCCCACATGGCCAGCCACGGTTGAGCCGTGGACCTGGTGGCTTGAAACTCATGCCAGGTTCCCACCCAAAGTCCCAGGAAAAGAGTGGAGAAGGGATTCTGGTGTGGCCATCCTGAGGGGTGACTTCTCCCTTTCCCTCTCACCGTGTGTCTCTCAGCTCTAACCCTGCATGTTCTACTTATCCTGGGGCTGCACCTGTGCTGAGCAGCAGGGAGGGAGCTGGAAAGCTACGTGGGCAAGGGGAGGGTCCGGCAGCAGTGCTGACCACAGCAAGGCCCAGGAGGGCGGTGGCGGGGCAGTGGGTGGCTCCCATGCGCAGTCTCACGGTCTCGCAGTCTCCCCGGCTCCCGTGCTCCTCGCATTGCCCTCACACCCTCTAGAGACACGGACCTCATCTCTCCACGCAGAAGTCCGGGCCTTGGTTCTACTGGGCCCCCCTTCAGACTTCCACGTCCTTTGAATGCATCTTCACTTTGGTCCCCAAGCCCTGAGTGGGGGGTTCTTCCTGCAGTTACTACCCTGCGAGAGTTACCACCCCTTCCTCCCTGGCACCCAGCTGAAGGCTGGAATCTATGAAGAAGGATTGGTCGTTCTGCCCGCAGGGTTCTGGAAATCCGCGGTCCCAGCTGTGCACGACCTCACTGTCCCTGGGAACTGCGTTAGCTGGCTGCGCGTGGCCTGGCTTCTGGAAAGTGGTCAGACTGTGCACCACATGTGTAGGTTCTCTTTTTTCTTTCTTTTTTCTTTTTTTCTTTCTTTCTTTTTTTTTTTTTTGAGAGCTTTTTGCTATAGGGCGTGTGCGCTCGCCAGACAGAGAGAGACATAGAGACAGAAAGTAAGAAATCACCCCCCAGGGGGGATGGTCACGGCGCAATCCCTTCTCCTCCATTCTCCTCTCGGGATCTTGGGCACGCACGCACATGTGCCTGGCATGAGTTTTAAGCCACCAGGTCCGGGACCCAAACCACGGTCGACTACATGGGAGTCCAGTGACATAGCCATTACGCTAACTGCTGGTTCCCAGTGTGCTTAGGTTCTCAGCAGCAAACTCCTTTGTGAAGTTCACGTAATGGATGCCTGTGAGATTTTGGCGTGACCAAAGAAAGAGATTTTCAGAAGATGGTGGGCTTGCACTTGAGGAATTTCCGGGGCTCAAGGATGCAGCTGTGGGCTGGTGTTTCTCAGTGGGCCTACCAGTTCTCTGAGGACCGATGAGGTTTCATTTTCCTTTCTTTCACTTGGCCAGAGAGAGCATGTGCTCACCGGAGGGAGGGAGCGAGCGCCCCCAGTGGAGCCTGCTCACGCCTCAGTCCTCGCTCTATCCTGCCGGGATTCTGGGCACTCGAGAACATGCGCCTACTGTTCTAGCCA